GCTTTTGCACAAACAGATCCAAGCAAGAAATCACATCGAAAAACCTATATCGATGATGGGTAATAAGAAAAAGAAGAAAACGTTATATAATATGCCCCATTTAAACCTGGATGGAAAAATCCCTCACGTTTATTTTACAGCGTCTTCTCTCTCCAGTCTATCAGGGCCTTATATGGCCTGGTGGTTAAAGCAGTAACGTAAAAAGTTAAGTAAAAGAGTAGCCCAATAATTTGCGGTGGGTAGTTCTTAATTAGTTGACTAGTTTTTCACTTTTGATTAGGGACAGCTAGCGCAGATAACGCTCAAGTAGCTTTGTGCGATATTCGAAAAACAGATAAACCAGTCTATCAATGCAAAATTATGGACGGCTATGTGAAGATAACCCTTGAGTAGCATCAAACAAACAAACAATTATCATTCAAGAGGAAGATCAAATTATCCGGACAACCACACTGATGGAACACTATATAAGGAAGATATCACATTCAGTATTTTCTCACACAATTATATCACCCGCTACTACCTAACAGGAAAAGCATACATCAAAGACTTCCATATCTTAACATTGTCAATCAGGTTTGATCACGACGCCAAGGAGTGTAAGAGGATTTGGTTCTCCCGAATAATCCTAACAAAATTGCTTAAATATTGGTCCAGACACTTCTTCTAGCAGTTTAAAACTTGTACATTCTTTTCCTATCTCTATACCAAGTGACACTCTTTTTTCTTTTAGACAGTCATGTGTATCTAATGTTAATGTATTTCTGATAATTCCAGTTTTTTTTTCGCCAGATATATATTTAAATTCAGATTATCCTGTTTGCTAAAATTAAAGGTGAAATAAATTGAATACTCAAACTGCAGTTTATAACTGTACTCGTACATTAAAGTAACTATTACAAATTACAACTCATTGGTAAGAATTAAAGGTTTTTGGTGCACCGCAACAATTTAAAAAAAACATAACAGATAAACATTTTTAATTTTATAAAACCTCAGACGTACTGCTGTTATCACCGGGGGAGGTTTGTCTAGTTGAACTTAAGAGGATATAATAATATTGTTTGGAAAAAAATAAATGATATTTCCTGTTCTAGGCCTAAAAGAAAAACTGTGGGCTCTGGTCTATGTCTTGCTGTCGGCCCGGCGTGGCCAGGTGTGGCAATCTGAGGGTCGCGGGTTCGAATCCCGTCCCACCAAACATGCTCGCTCTTTCAGCCGTGGGGGGTGTTATAATGTGACGGTAAATCCCACTATTCGTCGGTAAAAGAGTAGCCAAAGAGTTGGCGGTGGGGTTGATGACTAGCTGCCTTCCCTCTAGTCTTTGAATGCTAAATTAGGGACGGCTAACGCAAATATCCCTGATGTAGTTTTGCGCGAAATTCAAAAGAAACAAACAAAAAAAAAACAATGTCTTGCTGGTAGTGGTTTCGCGCATCATTTACTGTTTCTTTACGTCTAGTGAGAAATAACGAGTCCACGAAGTGCTCGTTAGAAAAGGGTTCGAAAAAAAGCATCTACCTGAATCACTATTGTCAAAATTTATTTCGTGCCTGCTTCTTTCTTTCAATTTATCTCCTTCATTTCTTATCTTTTTACAATTCGATATATCTAGGCCTAAATTGCCTTTGGCGTCTCTGTGTTTTCTTCTAGTGGACTCCTTCATCACTAATGATTTTTTTCATCCAAGTAATGTGGTTATTATTGTTTTATCTGTAGATAAGTAATGCCACCTATGTCGCAAAAAATAAAGAGCTTCAAGCGTTTTGAACCTCAACTTTTATATGTTTTTATGTTTATCATCGCTATTACTAACTGCACGCTATTGCCCCTTCCCCACATTTATCATAACAAGTCAAATGCAAGATGTGTTCCGTTAAAACAATGCTGACAATACACTAGTTCAAGCCAAATAATAAATGGAGAATGTTAAGTCCATACTGAAAAACTACCTGAAGTAATTTTTATTACTGAATGACATAAACCTGTGCATAAATGATAGCAAGGTATCGAATCACACTTCAAAAGGTTTGGCAATATGACTTAACCCGTTCCCCAGTGGCCCAGCAAAAAGTCTGTAGGCTTACAACGCTAAAAACCGGATTCCAATATGCGTGGTGGGTAGAGCACAAACTGCCCATTGTGTGACTTTGTGTTTAACAAACAAACTTAATCCATTAACTGGCGCCCTCTAGTACCTAAACCATCAACGATAACATGAACTCATGTACACATAAATATGTCAAAATAATTCATACACTTAAAATTAATTTTCAATCATGCGATAAATGTTAATTCAGCATTAATCACCGTACAATATGCGAAATATCAACTTTCATTAGCTGTGCACTTGTGCAATCCAATCATTTAAAGGACGCTACTTCACAGTTTTATTTTGTAACAACAACATAACAACTATTTCCCACTAGAATAACCATTTTCACGAGACATAAAAATGAAAATGAAATTCCCAAAGAACTTTAAACGTGTATTTAAAGTGTTATTTGAAAAAAATATCCTAACTTTCTTAAGAGAACTGAATCTACAATCATTCTTTGTCAATAACTATTTTTTTAAGAGAAAAGCTAATTCACACCCAAATTCTTTATAACGACATCGTCTATTGAAATGATATAGCAGTGCTTAATAGTTTGGTTTAAAGATATCGAACTACCATAGTTTTTTTATAACCTAGTAGTTCATGATAGAAGCTTTAGTCTGTAAATCCCTAAAAATTAAGGTTACAATGACCAACATTTTGTACAGGATTTGTAGTTCTGTAAAGAAATGTTCAGTTGAATCTCGGGACAATAGAAAACATGCAAGAATTTCATTGTGTAATAACGGGGTGGCTTTAATATATTGAGCTGAGAAAGTTGTTAATAATAAAATCCGTGACAGTACTTAGGGGCAGGTTTTAGGGTGTCGAAGGTGCATCTGCACCTTTTTCACTCATGAATGAATTTTAAACAGAAGAAAACGAACAAGAAAATGAAATATTCCATAGAAGAAAAAGATTAAATTAGCCAACATAGAGTAAAATTTAAATTATTCAAATTAATTTGATGAGAAGAAGGTCACATTCTAGAAACAAGAAGGGTTTAAAAAAAGGAAAAATAAAACAAAACAAACTCACAACATGAAAATGCAAATTAAAACACTCATAAACGGCTCATAGTATACTAGCATAGTATTGGGTGGGTGTTGTTTTATATAGCAGAGCCACATCGAGCTATCTGCTGTGTCCAATGAGGAGAATCGAACCACTGATTTTAGTGTTGTAATTCCAGAGATTTACCCCTGTCCCACCAGGGGATAGTATAGCATTGCATTAAGAATATAGAACATGTCTTGAAATATAGTGAAGATTAATGGAACTAAATGACATAACTTGAATGGATTACTGCAATGATGTAGAAAAGGAAAATTAAAGACGTACGGAGACTTTCTGAATTATAGGGAGAAGCGTGCAATGAAACTTCTTAGGGAATTTGATCATTCAGAAAATGAATTAAGGGACCACTTAGAGCTTTGAGAAATTTCAGAGGTACCAGAAAACTTCAAGTCTGGAGTTCATGTGCTGAGTCAGGAGAGTACCATATGAGTTTCCACGGTAAAAATATTATTAGAGGAGGAATTTTCAGATTTGGAGTAGATGTCAATGTCACATGGCGGAACAGTCTGGATTTAATTATATTTAGTTATAGATAGGTGAAAATGAAAGCGCCTGAGTTTTCTTTGATTCCAATGATACGCAGTTATCAGACTGAGCACCATAATACTTGACCAAAGAAGGATCTTGGATGACAGGGTTACGGAATTGTAATGGTCTGGCTAACTAGACACATCTGGGAATGAAGTCAGTCAAAGGGGTATATATAATAGCAAAAATATTAAAAAAAAAAGATTTGGTCTGAATCTCTCAGAAAGTTGTGTGGATCTTCTGTATTATTGGAATGAAACGCGGCCTTGTAAGGAAACTTTACGTAACACACTTCTCAGAACAGTTTGTAATGTAGTCGTTAAAACGGTTCGTAGAAGGTACGTTGGGTATGTACTATTAGCTGTATCACTTTATGATAATTACAACACAGCACAGTAAAGAGTAGGCTCTCGCTTTTATACAGCTACTAAATAATTTATGTGTTTTTCTCAAAAATACATTTAAAGTTGTGTAATTTGAACTTGAAGTTCGAAAAAAGTGACAAAACTAAGAAACGATTACTATTAACGCCCTTTATGTTATTACGAATTATGCCGTTAGATGGCAGCAACATTCAACGTAAGCTGGTTGTCTTGCTATGATGTGATAAGCGGGTTGAATTGTTCATTAGGCAAAATATTATTCCGTTAATATCAGTGTCTGTAGCAATGATTCAGCGAAAATATTTAAGTAATATGTCAAACATTTTCATTTCAACACTTTGGGATATATTGTTTATCTAGGACTATTTAGTTTCCCGTATAAATTAAATATATTTGACCTGTTATATTTCACGTGATTAGAGCATTAGCCATTGTTTTTTCATCGTATAAAATTTACCACATGAAAGGTCTTGGAAGTGTAACTGTAACATGGGGAACAGTGTGATAGCAGACAACGAAATCCACACTAAGTCGGTTATGTTTTTAGATAACGAAACATGATTGGTGTATATTTTTTGTAAGCGGGTTTATATTCTAATAAGTGCATAATCTAATTTGTCTACGAAAAAAATGATACTCTTATTATAAAATCCACTTTTGTATTAATCACACTGTAAAAGTTACAAGTTTGTCTACAAAAACAAAAAAGGTACTCTTATTATAAAATCCAATTTTGTATTAATCATACTGTAAAAGTTATAAGTTTGTCTACGAAAAAAAATGGTACTATTATTATAAAATCCAATTTTGTATTAATCATACTTTAAAATTTATAAGTTTGTCTACGAAAAAAAAATGGTACTCTTATTATAAAATCCACTTTTGTATTAATCATACTGTAAAAGTTATAAATTTGAGACTTTCCAGACAAAAATAGCAGTTCCTCGTTTGTAAGGCGACAAATCATATCGATTTCACCTTGACCTTTATAACTTCTTCATACAAGTTTGATAATTTTAGGATATCGTTCCGCGCTAAGGTGAAAGAATAAAAGCAACATATTGTTGCATATTTCTCTCCTTCACTTGTGCATTAAGAACTTTATAAGGACATAGTGTTAGATAACAGTGAAAATAGCCTTCCAAAGAGATAGTTTTCTTAGCTTCTAGACAAAGTGTACGACCTGTTAGTGGGTTTCCTTTGCTTCCAAGTTTTCTCTTATCAAGTCTAGCAGACCATGCATGCTTCCACGATAACGCGAGTTAAGGATATTGCGCACACCACGATACTTTAGCTGTAGCACACACACACACACACACACACTTAAAGAACATCAGACACGTGCTCGTTGTCTGCTTTATTCCCGGGCATCCGGACTCAAACAAATCACTGATAAATAATAAATTTTAGTGCACACTAATCAATAGTTATTCATAAGAATGATCACAAGAAGAGACAGTAGATTATTCGTCAGAGTTGTATGTTGCAACACAAAATGAAAAACAAATGTTTTAGTTTACGAACGTAAAAAATTATTTAAGCTCTTTTAACAGTTGGTAGTTTCTGTGCATACTAAGAGTTGGTATTTACACTTTTACTCGATCGAATCAAAGAAAAATTTCTCTCTCTCTCCCTCCAACAAAGAGAGAGAGAGAGAGATTATGGACACTGCATGTTCTAGTGGGTTCCTTTAGCTTCATACATCGATCAGTTACCCATACAGTGTGGTAATACTGTTGCCTTGGTAACAGCACCTGCCTACGCGTTTCATGATTTTGGGTTTGTGAGCAATCTTCCAGGTGAAACAACGCCCGTTTGCACTGCAGTTGCGCAGAGTTCTGTAAAAGCTTATGTAATATTGATTGTCCTGCTTTATATAAAGATAGCTTTAAAACGCAGGACATTTATTAACCGTAAATGTTATTGCTTTAGAACTTTATTAGGCTGACGATTCGTTCCATGTATATAATGAATTACAAACAGCAACCTTATGTAAAAAGAATTTAGCAGCTTCCAAACTTCGACCATCTATCAAGCAGGTAAGTAGAAGTGTAACATATAATCTTATAAAGTTGGTAAATTTTTGTTGCTGTTTATATCAAGTATCCTGTTTATACGATAAACATTTTTAATGACATACCTTAGTCATACATTTTATTTATTTATTAGAGGATATTGCTTTCAAAAAACAAACTGTAACCGATTCTGCAGACTGATTTTGTATTATTGTCACAAAATGAGAGATGAAACAATTGTTAAAGCCATTTTAGGCTTAATCATCCAACTCTCTATCGTGTTAACATAGTGTTAGATACGAGCTCAAATCATTGCTTTGAGTCCACGTATTCAATTATGTCTCTCGTTAACATTGTGTAGGAGAATAACTTGTTTGTTTGTTATGAATT